ATTTAGTATCAGGGATCAACTGTCCCTTTGTATATAATTAACCCCTTCACTTAATGTTAGGTTTTCGTTAAAAACGCTGTTCCTAAACCCTTTGAAACGAAAACATTTCAAATACGCACTATATAAAATATTGTATACATGTTACAAATAAAATTTTATGGGAAGTTGATTATTTTAATAATATTTACGAACATATTTGTCATAATTTATTTATAAATTACATCAATTCGTTACGGAATTATGATTATTTCAATAGTTGCATTTGTTTATCATGTGGCGTAACTAAACAACATCTACCTAAGAGTTTTTGTTTTCTCCATTGCTGCTTCCATCTCTTTCTTTTATATAAATAAATAGATTATAAATATGTATATATCGCTGGCATATTTATTAATCAGGCATTTTATAAAACGATGGGGTTTTAAACAAAAAAATAATAGTTTCTGGAAAAAGCCTTAATTTTCAGTCACTTTGAAGAATTTCTTTACCAGAACTGTTCAAATTAAACAAAAATAATAGTATATTTATCACATTAGGAGTATGGAAAATGACATTATTCTCACAAGTGTGAAAAATAACATTTATACAATTCATCAATATTTTTCCTACGAACACCGGAGACACCTGTCATGTGTCATAATGTAGGTTGGCATTACCCCCTACATACATATGTCAATGTCAGTTGAATAAAGTTTAGTTGACTTGTCACCCAGCCATCGTCTAGTTCACTTCTACCTACCAATTCCCCTACCCTAGTCTCCCTATCATACAGAAGCGACATCACCCTGTATATCTATCTATAATTTTTCCGTAATCTTAAATAACTTTAAACAAATTACTAAACCAAATTAGATTCAAAACCAAGAAAATAAGTTAATCTACTATTGTCTTTTCGGTTTTTTTGAAGTTGACAATTTTAGAGAAAAATATAATTATTTTAAATACCTACATCATTTTTTTTAAACTGATAAAAACGTTTTATGACACAATTGCAAGATTAATCAAGATAACAAAATGTGTGTAATTTAACACCTCATTTATGGATATAATATCAATTTAAGGAGAAAAGCCAACACATGACGCATACCCTACTACATTCCTACCTAATTTTTTTTTTTTTCAGAATTAGATGGTGTTTGGTATATATTAAAATTGCAATGCTATTTAATCATCTCGTAGGTCAGCTTTAACCGAAAAAATTACCAATCCTCGTTAACAGATCCAGCCCACATAGGAATAATAATTATAAATGAACTCTTTTGTTCAGAGCTGGCTTGGACATTTCTTCTCTGAAGTTATTGAACATTAGGTACCTAGCCCAACGATCATTCATCCAAGTATAGCTCAATTTCCATTATTTTCCAAAAAAAGCTAAACGTAAAATAATGATTCAAAATAAAATGTCAAATTCTAATAATAGATGTTAAGTATATTTACAATGGAAGTACAGAAACTTAAATATACATCAAATTACTAAATGAAACACAAAATATTATATAAATAAAAATTTTCTTGGTAATTCGGTCATATTGTTTTTATTTTATATTATTTAAGCACAGCACTACATATGTTTCGGAAAATGTTTTTCCATCTTCTGGTGCAGTTAAAATTTAGTAAAAAATGGGGGACGATTACAGTTTAAAATTTTTAAAATAACAGAAACCACATCATTCTTTTTAAGAGAGTGTGAAGGTGTATTCGAAATAATAATAATAATAATAATAATAATAATATTCAAATACATCTTTAATAGTATCTGTTTTTGTTCATAAAAATTTTTTTTTTGTTTGAAATTTGTGATTATTTTGTTTAAGTAGGGTGTCCACAAAGTCTCGTCTAGAGTAAATTTAACCTAAATCACCTCTTACAAAATGCTTGGGAGGGTTATGGATATTTTTATTGATAACTTTTTGTCTTCTCAAACAAGCCGCTTATGTCTACAATTACAAAATCATATACCTGTCATACGATTGGACATATTTCACGAAATAAATGTACATAATGTTATCACTTAAAAGGAAACCGTTTCAAAGATACTTGAGTTAAACCGGTGATAGGGCGACATCTTCAAAGAGCTTTGTAGCTTCCTAGCATGTTTTTGGATAAAAAGATTTACGATAAATTGACAAAATGAGCTTTAAAATGTTCAGTTTTCTTTTGTGAGATTGTGGACATCCTGAATAATAAATATATTTGTTATAAATTCATACAACTTTTAAACTTATTTTATATTCTATGAAAAATGATTATAAATCTTGTACCAATATAAAATTTGACTATTATCTACAATATAATTTAAAAAAAAATATGTCATTAATAGTAAATAGTGTCATTTTTTCGAGATAACATTAAAAAAGGTTGAATTGATAGGTGGGCCCTTCTTCCTCCTATAGGCTCTAGAGCAGTGGTCGCCAACCTGTCGATCGCGAGCTACCGGTAGCTCGCGGAGGCAATTCTGGTAGCTCTCACAACGATTTTAATTTAAAAAATACAAACTGCAAAAATCAGGGAAGTTTCCGAAAATTCCACAAAAAAATCTAATTGTCATAATATTAAACATAAACAGTGGCAACGTTGCGGTGAGCAATCTGCCGCTAACGCCATCAAGCTAGAATCGGCTAGAACCGACCAGCCGGACCAGCGCGTTGACAATCAGTTGTAAGAAGGTAAGAACATACCACTTTCATTCGGAATGGGAAGAACAATACTTTTTTACAGAAGTTAAAGATAAAAATGTGTGTTTGTTATGTAATACTTCGGTCTCCGTTGCTAAAAAAGGAAATATTGAGAGACATCATAAAACTGTACATTCTAATTTTGAAAAATCATTCCCACTACATTCTGCCGCCAGAAAGGAGAAACTGAAACAGTTAAAAAAGCAGTTAATTGGTTAACAATCAATATTTTTAAGAACAGTCGACAAAAATAAGGCTGCAACTGAAGCATCGTACCGTGTGTCCCAGATAATTGCATAAAAAAAGAAACCTTATGAAGACGGGGAAATGATAAAACAGGCGTTTTTAGAAGCTGCTGATTCGTTATTTGCCAACTTTAGAAATAAAGACGAGATAGTTTCAGCTATAAAATCTATGCAACTTTCTGCTAATACAGTGATGAGACGTGTAGAAGTAATGAGCAATGATATTTTTTTTACAGTTAAGAACTGACTTAGGTAACTGTCTTTATTTTTCACTCCAACTGGATGAATCAACAGATGTCGTTGACACTGCCCAGATGGCCGTGTTCGTCAGGATGGTTTTTATTGATTTTTCGATTAAAGAAGATCTTTTGAAGTTTATTCCACTGAAAGGACACACTACTAGACAGGAGTTGTTTTCTCATTTAAAAAATATTTCTTCCGAGAAAATTCCAATATCGAAAATGGTAGGCTTGACAACCGATGGCGCTTCAGCTCTGGTGGGTTGTGATAAGGGTCTGGTGGCGTTATGTCGTAAAGATAAAACTTTTCTGCAATTTCTCTGTTACCACTGCATTATCCATCAGCAAGCATTATGTGGAAATTTCCTGAAACTAAAAAACGTTATGAAACTGGTGGTAAAAATTGTGAACAAGATTAGAGCTCAAGCGTTACAAAGAAGATTATTCAAAACCTTGGCCGATGAAGTTGACTGTCAATACGGGGACCTACTCCTTCACTCTGAAGTCCGATGGTTAAGTAGAGGACCGGTGCTGAAACGTTTTAATGATGTCCTATCTGGCCTAGTTCAATTTTTCAAACAACGCGATAAACCTACTCCGGAACTAGAAAATTCAATCTTAGAGATTTTGGTTTTATCGTGGACATTACAGAGAAATTAAACGAACTTAATTTGCAGCTTCAGGGGAGAGACAAAGAACTAGCGGAAATGATTTCTGATATAAAAGCATTTATCAAAAAGCTGGAGTTTTGGGAACAAAACCTAATTAACAGCGATGCCAAGCATTTTCCTATTATTTCAGAAAAAATATCTCAAAATCCATTAGAACCCCATGACAGCAAATATCATGTAGAAATAGTTTCTACCCTGAAGAATAACTTCAAAAATCGTTTTAAGGATTTCAACGAAATGGCTTTAGTAGCGCAGTTTGTTGTTTCACCCTTTATGGAAATTGATATCCAACAGTTTGCAACTTGTGTTATGCAGAACTTTGGCGAAGACATCGCTGCAACAGAAATGGAAGTAATTGAGTTTCAAAATGATTTAGCCTTAAAATCGTTAGTCTCAAGTACCAAATGTATCTGGCCTATTGTAAGTAAAGACAAATATTCAGTTCTATGCCGTGTTGCCTTGAAAGTGAAAGCATTATTCAGTTTAACCTATTTGTGTGAATCTTCTTTTTCCAATATGAAGTTTATTAAGAACAAATATCGCAATCGACTTACAGATGAACAATTGGATAATTGTATTCGAATGGCTGTATCAAATTATACTGCAAACATTAAAAAAATTATCGATGAGTCTGAGTGTCAGCCTTCTCATTGAACGTGCTTCTTTATTTTTCAATGTTTATGTTCATGATAGTGCATTACTTTTTTGTTGTTATTATTAACTATGTTTAAATCTTACGTGACATGCCGTTGTGGCTGGATAAAAGTTTGTGTTTATTTTTCAAACACCTTCGTTTGGTAGGTAGGAATGTAGCTATGAACAAGTACGTACTAGTAATATTAGTTATTTTGTTATTAGTTTATTTTACGTTGCGTTACGTGGCTTCCGTGTGGGTAGCTCGCTGTTTATTCCAAAATTAACAAAGTAGCTCAACACATTGAGAGGTTGGCGACCACTGCTCTAGAGGTTCCAATCCGACATTGGCTTTGTGGCTATTCCGACCCTGGCTAAATTTAGAAAAATCAGTTTATTAAAATTTCACCCGGTATATTGCAGTTTAAAAACTGAGACACTTCGTACATAATTGTTTATTCAAATCTATTCTTTTCACACCGTAACAAGGTCGATTGGAGATTGAAGTTTGGTGTTCTTTGAAATAAATAATGGTCATGGCCTACCATTCTATCTCGACGTCGGTGACTCAGTTTGCAATTTAGTTTTGTCTCGGCTTTTCTATACGTAGACCATGATGTGTTTTCGCAATACGACTTTTATTTGCCGGCAGTGATACTAAATATTTGATGTAATAAACACGGTGCTGTTCGTACGTTTACATTTATTTATAATTCGTGTAATAATCTCACGCTTGAGTGTGTTTTAAAACGAAAATTATCAATTATTATCATCATCATGGATATGGAGGCAGAGGATGTCATGTGGAAACAAATATACACCAAATTGCAGGCTCAGAAATCGGTCGATCGTGTTCATTCGGATCACGAAATCAGGTAAAATATAATATTTGGGGTAGTTTAATGAAGTTCAGGCTCGCCTAGGGATACTAAAGGTCAGGATATTCCGGAATTTGGGCGTTTTTTTCCGGAAAATCGCCGGGAATTATCCGAAATTATCAGAAAAATCATCAAACATATCAAGGTACCTTCGTACCTATGTATTTTTTTTAATAAAACGTTTAGTAATTACTGCATGAGTTAGAGTTTTATTATTTGTCCGGATTTTTAAACAAATGTCCGGAATTTTCATTAAAGATGCTATAAAATTGCATTTTTGCATATGGCAACCCTACGGCTCGCCTGAAGTTACTTCTATGCCTGAAAGTATAGGTATACTAGAAAGTCACGTTGTATGAACATTTTTATTTCATCAAAATAGTTTTTGTACTTATACTTGTTTAAATCTTTTTGCGATTTAAAGAAAAAAAAAATATGTTTAGTAACTAATTTTCTTGATCCTGCCAAAAAAATCTTATGTGGAGATTATAAATGTCCTATATTTTAAGGATTAACAGGTTCAGGGCCAACGCGTCCAATTTACTGGACGAAAGAGTTTATAATGACAGCTCGCTTCCAGTTAACTTGACACTCCTTAAATATTAAATGTGTTTCCATGAACAGTGGTCTATTGAGATATATCTTAGGTTTTGAAGCGGGCCTTGGGCAAATATTTGCCATAAAAATGGTTTACTTATCTCAAATTGTTGGCTTTTTTACTTAACTGGATCCTGATGTTTCCTATGAATATGGAAAAAATATACCAGTTAATTGGACAGATATTCCATATATGTCCAAACAAATAAGGCTGCAGTGACATATTTTATAATTTTCTTATAAAAGTTAATGTTGGGTTTTGGGTAGAGACTGCTCTGATCCAGTGGGCACTGAACCTTCTAAAATAGTGTGACGAAAGTCTAATGTTTTTTTAGTTTATTTATTTAAAAACACACTATTTACAATTTATTTCAGACGTACTATTTAATTTATATAATACTAATTAACAATTCTAATTTATTTCTTACACTTTAACTTTCCAATACAATGTTCTATATTAAAACTGTCTATATACAACTAACTGTCCGCCGACGAGTCGGCTATTTATATTAAGTCCAACTCCTACTAGAAGTCTCCAGACGGTCGTCTCGAACATTCCATTTATATGACTAAACGGCACTCCCCGCCGTTCCAGCTGTTTCTAGTACCTCAGCGGCAGGCGTTCCGTCGCCTCGAGCACGAGTCAGTTTCCATCTGAAGGTCGAGCGTACCCAGGCACAGGGTCGGATTAGGAATTTCATGACAATATATTAGAGTACCTACTACTTTGAATTGGACTGTCACACGACAGCTCCCACCACCGAGACATAGTACATGTTGGTCACCCCCTTCTCTATACCGAATCCCAATTCCAGTCAGATGAGGGATTATTTGCTTCCAACAACGTCTTGCATTGCGATAAATCACTGATTTTGATTTTCCCAAGTAACCTCACGTTAATATCTGTCATTTTCAACTAACGCTACACCTTTTGACACGTCAGTAGGAATCAAATCATTCATTACTGTTTTATTTTTTACTATTAAGATGATGAATATTGACTTTTGATGACTTTGGCAATAAACATCAATAAATTAAATTTATTTGCATACATTTTTTGTAATCCCTGTATTTTTCTTAATAATTGAGATATCATAGTATACAGGGTGAACCGGATTTAATTTGCGTATACAGAGATCTCGTAAACCGTAAGATATACATTGTTGGTTAAATGGGGAAAAAGTTTCGTATTTTGACGGATAATACAATGGTCCAAAGAAGTTCTAGATTTTCTGGCTAGTTCCGGAGATATTCGATAAAATCCGAAAAACCTCATTTTCGTTTATTTAAGTCGTGCGTTGTTACTTATTTAGTTAGAGCACAGTTCCGTTTTACCCAAAATGTGTGGTGTAGACTAATCAATAATCAGATTATTAGGCCGATTTTTTTGGATGGTAATTTAAATCAGTTCCGATATCTACATTTATTGAAGGAAGTACTCGATGAGATACCCTTACAAACAAGACAAAATCTTCAATACTTTATGCAAGACGGTTGTGGTGCACACAATGCTAGGAGGGTTGCAGAGTATCTCGATCAATATTTTAGAGGTATTGGTACCAATGGACCAATAAGATGGCCTTCTCTATCTCCGTGTCTTAACCTCATGGATTATTTTGTATGGGGCTTCGTAAAAAACCAAATCTACGACAAAAATATGCCAAATAATCTACAAGAACTTCGTCATTTTGAGCAACTATTATGACTGTTTTTGTTTTTGAATTTTGTTTTTGTTATTAGCTTTATTATTTGTAGAATATGTGTACAACCATAATTCTTTCTTCATTAGTCTTGTTTGCTGGTTGTACTTAAACATGTTTAATAAAAAATTGTAGCCCATTTTATAATTAAATAATTCTTGTATTATGTTTCAAATAATATTTAAAATTTCACATTTTAAGCATTTTTTATTTTTTAATTAATATTTAATTAGCTATCTTGTTTTAATCAAGTAAGAAACGGTATCATCAGAAGCTACATAGCTGATGATATTTTCATAGACGAAACGTAGTAAAATGGTAAAATGTAACATATCGTTGTATTTAGCTATACAAAAGCTATAAAAAATTACAGTTAAAAAGCCAGGTCCGTATTTAAAAAAATAAGTTGAAGGTGGCCCTGCAAATACGAAACGTCGTAATAAAAATTTTTACATGGCAGATTATAGGGAACTTGATTTATAATAAAAACATCGTATAATTTTTTTTGCATCTTTTATAATAACAACGTACGATTTAAAAAACGAAAATGAGGTTTTCCGGATTTTATCGAATATCTCCAGAACCAGTCAGAAAATCTGGAACTTCTATGGACCATTGTATTATCCGTCAAAATACGAAACTTTTTCCCCATTTAACCGACAATGTATATCTTACGGTTTACGAGATCTCTGTATACGCAAATTAAATCCGGTCCACCCTGTATACCTACTAGGCTGCTATTTGATATCGCAAAATGTTATTTCTATATTGTTTACTCTACAGCAGGGGTGCACAACATACGGCCCGCGGGCCGGATGCGGCCCGCCAGTGTCGTTTTGGCGGCCCGTCGGCCGTTGACCAGGTTGGCCCGTCTACGTCAAATTATACATTTTTCAGTAACAAACTTGCATTTAGGCTGACGACCTTTTGTTTTAGAAGCTCGACCAGCAGAAATTGGTTTATAAATGAAAGGTGTCGACCTTTTATTTTAGAAATCGACTATTGTAGGATCGGGCCTCTCTTGGCGGCCCTCGTACAGTTATGGTTTTTCAAATCTGGCCCTTTGAAAATCTGAGTTGTGCAGGCCTGCTCTAAAGGGTGTTTCAAAAATTACTTAAAAATCTTATATTTGTATAATATAGTTTATTGACAAATCTTTTAAAAACTATAAAAAGTTCCTAAAGAATCACGTAAAATTTAAAAAAAAATGTCAATGTTTCTCTGTTGTTTATCAAAATAAAACGCAATTTTAAACAACATTAATTCACCGATATAATTTAATACGCTTGTCCTTATTATGTATTCACTGTACGTGCATATTAGCATCTGGGACTAATGTTGAACTTCCTTATAGTACGTAGTAGATATCTGCTTAAAAATAGTGATAAGATCAGGCACTTTCCAGAGGCAGACTTGATCTATTACTTAACATTACTAATAATTATTATCTATCCCCTATTATATTTTTAGAGTGTTTCTTATAAACACAATATCTCGTATTTTTTTCATTTTGTAAGTACACCACCGTGTAATAATAGTATTAATTTTAATTTAAATGAGCCGAAAACAGCAGGTTTAAATAATTATTGTGTACCTTGTTTACTATAAACAATGACACAATGGAAAGCCCATTGATGTGTATAATATTAACAAACCTCAGTCTTTAAAAATATTAATGAATGCTTTACATTACCAACAAAATTAATTTGTTATTCACCTTGATTTAGCATCGCTGTAAAAAAATTCCCACTTATTCCGTTCTAAAAATAAATCATTTCAAATTATGGAAAAATCAGTAGTACCTAATTATTGTTTTACTGTTTGATAATAAAGCACCATAAATAACTAGAATGAAGATATATAATGTCTGACATTCTATCTCATCATACTTCACAGTTTAATAGACCCCCTTAACCCCCATTTTCTATCAAATTTTTTTCAGAATCAATAGGCTTGATCCCCTTATAGAGCTTGATTTTTACTAAAAATTTCATGTTGATGTCGCGGACGGATGAGCGGACGGGCGGAAGAACGAACGGACGAGCGAATGGATGGATGAATGTACGAACGGACGAACAAACAGACGACGGGCGGACATTTTTAAAATAGGTTTGTGATGAGAAGAATTTTGATACAAAATTTTTTAAATCAATATATCTATTAAAAATTTTGTTTTCTCGGAAGTAAACCTATAATATTCTTCTTTACTGTGTGAAGAGTATAATAATGCCTAGTAAGGTTAGAATAACAAACACTTTCAAATATTTATTGGCATATTAATTTTTTTTCTTGTTGTATTGTAGATTTCATTTGATGTTTATTTTACATCTTGCGTTACTTAGGACCGATTCCACCGTTGTATTAAACGAAGTTTAAAATTACATTTTTACATTAACAACGTCATTTTAATCTCCGTTTAACACAACGGTGGAATCGGTCCTTAATAATTCGTACTTTTCATGACAACTATATAAGTACTTATCACCCACTTTGATTTGAAATACGCAGGAAATTAATTTCACTTTTGTATCTGTGTCGTATTTGACACTTATACCTACTTGACTTGATAAAATAGCTGTATAAAATAAATATTCATAAGGTAATTGCATAAAAGCGTAGGTTACTGGATTTTTTAGATACATAAATTTGAATTACGTATTTTAATTTGTGTAAAAGTGTTTGCGAATATCTAGCTAAAAC